AAAAAAAAAATTCTCTTTATACTGTAATTCTTATTTTTATTACTTAATTGTCATGAAAAATAATCACAATAATAATAATTATTATTATTATTACTATTATTATTAAGAAATAATGAATTCTCATTTTTTGTTACCTAACTGTCATGAAAATCACAATAATAATAATAATAATAATAATAATAACAACATTAGAAAAAAATCATTTCTAATTTGTATTAATTGTCAAATAAAAAATAATCACATTACAATCATAATATTAATACATTATTATAAAAATGATGATAATAATAATAATATATTTATAATTATTGTGATGTGATTATTTTCATGACAATTAAGTAATAAATGAAAATTTCTGTAAAAATAATTTTTATTAAATAAAAAGGATAAATTGAGGGCAGAAAAACAACACTACCATTATGCATAAATATTTTTCAATTTAATTTAATTCTATTTGTGTGTGTGCGTTTGTGCATTACAGCAATAAGATTGTCAGGAGAAAATTATTAACTCATAAAAAACAAGGCAGTACTGCAAAATATTTTACTTGTCCTAAAAATAAGGTAGAATGTAAGCCAGGTTTTGTAAGATTCACCCTAAACTCTTGCAACATTTTTCTCTGGTAGTCCTGCAGTACCGTTCAGTGCTCCCATACCTCCAGCTGGTCCTGGTACTCCTGCAGGTCATCCAGACCACAGCGATCCGGCTCACATCTCACAGCCATCTCACTTTCAATCTCCAGCACATCTACGGCGAGCTCCGCACAGCGCTGCAGACACTGCTCCACGTGCGCTGACACCATGGCATGCTGGGAAACAAGGAGAAGACGAATAGTACAGAGGATAGTGAACACTTAGGCCCAATCCCATTTCTACCCATTACACCTCTCGATTCTCTTTTGTTTGGAGGTGTAGGGGAGTAATGTAGTGGAGGGTATACGCAGGTATACAGTGTAAACCCACTTCTTTATCAGTCGGCTTTGCGTATACCCACTTCGAAATCCCGTCTGATGCACCTCATTCAGTAGAGTACTGCATTAGCCAAATCATGACAGTCCACCACATGAGTAGCTAAATCAAATCGCATGTGAATAAATGTAAATATTCCCGAAACACACCCAGTAAAGACAGTAATGCGGTCAGGACGTGCTTCAACTACTACTTTGAATGGAGACGTCAGCCAAAGTGAGCACTAATAACAGGACCAGTGCTCCAAATGGGCCTGTTCACACCGGTATGCATTACCGGCATATTTTGACCTTTAGCGTAATACCGCCGCTTCTCACATGTTGCCGGTACTCAGAGTCAAAGCATCAGTATCTGGGTAATTAGAAATTACACTATAAAAATCACACGCCGTGAATTACCTCTCATCGTGCAAAAAAATGCAAGCGCAGTCGGTCTGGGGCGTGAGAGCATGTCAGGGGAGGCGCGCAGAGTGGTAAAATAATATTTAATTATTGATTATTAATTTGAATCAGTACATTAGAACGGAAAAAAACCTTAAAATGAAAAGAAGCAGGTTTTTGCGATCAGATATTTTTTAAACCGGTAAATTTTCAGTCCAATGATCCAGTAAACGAATGACTTCAAACAGTAAGTTCAAAACAGCTCTACAGAGAAAACCTGACCGATTTCATTAGAGATAAATGAAAGTATCAGAAGATAGAAATCAAACATGAGTAGAGCTGCACAATTCTGGATAAATTTATCACAAATTTATTTTTTTTGGTATCAAATAGAGATCATGATTCTCTTACGATTCTGAACAGATAACTAAACAAAATAGCTTGTAATTTACACGAGGTTCTGACAAAATGTTAATTGCTGCAGTCTGGAATTTTTTTACATTTTAATTATTTACTGCAAAATCTGCACCTCTTCTGTGGCTAATATTAATTTCATAATGATCCTTACTCTGTGAAGTCAAGTAGCAGAAGTTAAGTGATATTGCAAATACTACTTGCCCATTTTAGAGGTGAACTAAATACGCAAGACTAGTCTTACATGTCACTGTTTATAACGCAGGCCATTAAAAAAATGGGGGCATAAATTTAGAGTATACCTAATTCTCCAGGCACCACTACAACAGTGTCGTAGGGGTAAGGGGCCAGATAGCCCTTCAAATGAAGATTTTTCAGGACCACACTTCAAACGAAGGGGTATGAGCATAAACCGGCTACAGCGGCAACATAGCTGCACGAGTGAACAAAAAGCATTCATTAGCATTAATAAAGATTTTAATGAAAAGTAACCATTTGTTTTATGTTACATTCAATCGTGCGTTCATATTTACGGTCATGCTATTCAAAGAAATGTTTGCAAAAAAATCGCTAAAGTTTGCTAACGTTAAATCATTACTGACTGCATGATAGTGCTACAACATATATGTCTGATCAGGACGTTAACCACCATAGACATTGACGGGGGCTAGTCCCCCCAATAATTAGAAATCGCTAAACCTTTTTCTCAAATATTGGCAATTCGAGAGAGAGAGAGCGAGAGAGAGAGAGAGAGAGAGAGAGAGATGAAAGTTGCGTGTACATGTTTCTATGCGTCTTTCTGTACAATGAGTGAGTTTCCTTCAAAAACAGCGATTTTATCATCTCGTTGCTGGAAAATATAATGTAGCGATTCAGTATTTAAACTACGTTATTAATAAAAGTCGTGGGGCAGCGTTGACAAGTTTCTTTGCTCCTGGATGTGGAGCTGCACAATCTCCGATATGTCTGTGTGTGTGTGTGTGTGTGTGTGTGTGTGTCAGTAAGCAGCGCATTACTATAGAATGGTAATATAGAATGGCTCTAATGCACACCAGTATAGATGTGTGTAGTATAGGAGCTAGACGACGTATGATGACGCATAACAGTATAGTAGTGGTGTCCCATTTCTTAGGGGAATATTTTCACCCCTAACCCTTGACACTCTGTTTCAAGGGACAAGGGAAAGGGGTATAAAATAGAATTTGGATTGGACTTTACATATCAAATCTTGCTTGCCAGGTCTGCCTCAACACAAACAAAAGTTAATGGGACATAATTAATTTCTGACTCTACACACCCTGGTGAGGAGCTCCTGGATGCTCTGGTCATGTGACTGCGAGCGGCCCCTCTCCCGCGCCGTGTCATTGAGCATCTCCACTGCTTCTCTGAGCTCCTTCACAGGGTTCCCAATGGCTTCCATCAGGGGCTTGTCATGTCCGCTCACCGGCAAGCCCAGAAGAGACGGTCCAGAGTCAAGCTCACTGCACAGCGGCTGGAGGAACATAGTACACAGTATCTGATTGGTCGATCCTGCCATTCTGATCAAATATTTGTGTATAGTGAGACTAAATGGTATAATTAACTGTTTTTTTCCAACACAGCTGTGCTAGTTTGATGCCTCATATCATAGGGTGACCATACGTGCCATTTTTCCAGGACGGGTCCTGGCCAGGGTTTCTATATTGCCTAAAATATCTAGGTTTTGGCTTTATTTGTGTGTGCAAACCGATCGGTGTATGACATCAAAGTACCATACAGATGGTTATGCTTTCGAAACGCTCTCGAGGTACTTTGATGTCAAACACTGATCGGTCTGAGCCGCACTGCTTTTAAGTCGAACACACCTAATATGTACGCGTAATTGCATCGCTTTGACCGTAGATCCCACCTTCTCACACGCCATGATTGGTCCATTATGTACAATGCTTGCATGTTATTGGTCAAACTACTTTTCGATCATTACCTTCAGCAAGCATGAAAACAGGAAAACAAAGCCAAAACAAATCCTGGCCAGGACGCGTCCTGGGAAAATGGCACGTATGGTCACCCTATCATATCACTCCATAATCTCTTCCGTCTCATATAATAAAATAATTAAAACTGAAATCAAAATATCGTGTCAACTTATTTGTTTGTTCGGAGTTGTGGCAAGTTCATTGCACCTCTTCCAATTATTTTCAATGTCATTATAAAAAAAAAATCTGAATTGTTATGGCTATAAGTAGAAAAACTCTGAAAACTCATAAAATTGGGTAGAATTGACAAATTATGACAACTTGACTGACGGATTGATTCCAACAGTTTGACATTAGCATGTTGCAAAACTATCAACATGCTACTCTAATAATTATAACAATACACAGCACAAACAAACAGATACACATACACACACACACACACACACGTAACTATATTTATTGATTTTATTTTTATTTATTCTAAACTTCAGTTTTAAACTGAAGTATATTTTAATAATAAAATAAAAATGTAACTTAATTATTAATGATTACTGATTATCTTATGAAATTAATATTAAATATATTATTAAAT